ACTGTCACTTTAATTTGGCTTTATTCATCTGCTTTCCATCTGATTACAAATGCTGGCCAGTCACAACAACTGAGAAATGCTGTTGCTTGCATTGCAGATCAGTCCTTAATACTGGACTCCAACTGCCCATGGCTGGCATCTACACTGGTACCTGCCAGTATCATTCAGTATATTTAAATCCATATATCTTAAAAAGAAAAACCAATTAAAATTCTGTGAACTTCCTTTAAAATTTGTCCTAGAAGTAAAGCACTATAAGTCCCACAGAATTTCTTGAGGAGGAGGAAAAGGAAACAAGAGAAAGCTGAGGATAGACATGAAATAGCATCCCTTCCCTTCAAGGTAAGTTACAGCCAATATTTCAGATTTTTTTGTTGTTCTTAATGTTTTACTGAACATTATCACACCTCCAAACACATCAGAGACAACTGTCTGTGATTGTCACATTTATGGTAAGAGGATCACTTAAAAAACACCAAAACATTATTACAATCTTGTTTTTAAGTACACAACACTGGCAACATGTGGGGTTTTTTTTCATGCAGATACACTTAAGGTTGTCACTTTTAATCCTTTAAGTACGAACAAATGCTTTTTAACAAATTCTCATTAGCATTTATGATCATCTAAGGCAGTAGTCATTTCTTACTGAAAACAAAAGAAAACAAAACCACAAACTAAAGTCTTTTCACCAGGTTCAAGTGATACAACTTGTTACCACTGCAATGCTCCTGAAAAAGTTTGAAAGTGAACAAAATGCAGAGGAAACATAATATAATGAACCTGTGTAAGAGACATACATAAGTATGGTAAACAGGTAACCACAAAGGCAAGAAGTTGCTGACCTCAAGTAGAATCACAGATAGGTTTGTGTTGGAAAGGACCTTTAAAGAATATCCAGTTCAATCTCCTGTCATGGACAGAATGTGGGATATCTTCCACTAGACCGGGTTGCTCAAAATCCCATCCAAGTTAGCCTTGAACACTTCCAGGGATGGGGCATCTGCGGTTTCTCTGGGCAACCTGTTTCTGTGTATCGACACCCTTACAATAAAGAATTTCTTCCTTAGATTTCACCTAAATATACCATCTTTTACTTGTAAACCAAAGGCGTAAATCCCTTCAGTCCCCACTCAAAAGTCTTCCTCCACCTTTGTTATAAACTCACTGAAAGTACTGAAAGGCAGTGGGAAGCTCTTCCTTAGTACTGTGATTTCCAGCTATCAAGGCTGGTTTCCTGGATAAAATGAACTATAAAGCAGACACAAAGTACAATGAAAAAAGCTCTGCCAGACCTGGCTGGGCTCTATCCAAGTCCAGCTCAGGCTTCAGAGCCACGTTGCCCAAAAGGAGGCTCAGGAGGCGAATGGGGCAACTTGCCAGGGGCAGGGGCAGGGGAGATGCAGTGCACAAAGAGCACTGCCAGAGGCAAACTGAACTAACAAGAATGTGAAGCAGCACCAATTTTGCCAAGTGAGGCCCGGCTACACAAAATAGATAAATGTAACATGGTACAAAGAGGAAAGAAAGTGATGTTTGATGAAAATGGCCTAATAGCACACAGTACTGCTAGTCTGCAATAGGAGAATCTGACAGATGCTTAAAAAAAAGCCACAGTAATTACTGGTCCCGAGTTGATATTAAGTACCATAACGGGGAACTGATATAACTTGATTTTAGTGCTTTGCAAAGTAACTCTTTATCCTGGACCTGTTCTGCCATCCTTTGAAGATGCATGCCCTGCAAGTTCTGCTACATCTGAGAAAAAAAGTCCTTATCTTATGGGTCTCTCTCTCTCTAGCCAATCTCTGCAATACAGCCATAAATTTAACAGAGTAGCATGGACTACCAACACTGTAGGAACAGCAACAACAGAAACACTGCAATGAAGGTTGGTTGGGTTTTTTAAATACGTAAATGTTCTGCTCATACAGATGTGTGATGACCTCTATGAGCTGCATAACAGTGTAACAAATGGGTAATTCACTTGCTCCACAAACCACAGATTACTGTAGTATTTAAGAAAACATGCCATCTGTAATATAGTTGCAAATCACCAGTGCTTTTTAGACTGGTATAGAAGTTTACTTAAAGAAGTAATTGACAAATTATAAAACACTACCTATTCTAGAGCCTGTAAGAAAATACACAAAGATTTCTTCTTCTTCAAAGTATAAACACTTTCTGCAGTATTCAGTAACCTGAGATATCCCCTCTGGACAAAAAAACCAGTTCATTTGTCTTGATGCTTCATAACCCAGTTTATAAAACAAAGACTTTAGAATCAGGCTGAAAGCCAACAATTATCAACTATTATATGGGATTTAATTACTACCTAAGTCAAAGGAACTACATTTAAAGCTATATACTGCTTCAGTTTCCTAATAAATCACTTCAATAGTGAAACTTACTTGACCAGTTTCATTATTATGTCAACATAAAAAGATTTGAAACACAAGAAATCAAGAAGTATTAAGTGAAAGCAATCTCGGAGAACACTGGAAAAATTTCAAGCAAGCATAACCACAGGAAAACAAGTAACTGGCATTTACAAATATTTTGTCTTTGGGGAAATTATCTGTCTTAAATGTAGGTTTAAAAAATTAGGAATAGTAAGGAAAGTACACTAAATCAACATTATCACTTTCCCACCAAAGAATTCTTAACATGATTTAATTCAAAGTCTACAAAATCTACAGTATACCAGCCCTAAAACAACTGTGTGAAGCTTACTATGAAGTAAGCACAGATTTATCATTTTAATCAAATTATACATGTTTGAAATACTAGGGTTCCTCAAAAACATCAACTGCATGTTCTTTTCTAAATTGGCATTATGCATTGCTTTCTTTCATGAAATTTCTATGTTCTTGTCTTCCTAAGAAGAGCTGTAAGAGGGGAAACTGTCATGGACAGAAGAAATTCACAGTTTGGCAAATGGGGGAGGAAAAAAATGCACTTGGGCACTCTATTTTAATCATGAAGACAGAGCAGACAATTTCCTTTTCCTTTCTTCCCTTCTCAGCCAACAAGAAGCACCAGATCTACTGACTATATGCATACTGCCTTACTGCATGGCTAAGAAAATCAAGTGATGAAATGGAAGATAAGAGCAGCAGGCAAAGCTTCAAGTTTGCATCTCATGTATCAAGCCTTGCCTATAGTCTGGTCTACCACTGAACAAGCATAATACCTCCATTGAAAAGGAGAGATATCTGGCGGGTTACATGGAAACCCCTTCTGCCTGAAGCCAGCCTTCTTCACTAGTCTGAATGCAACCTCCAACACTTGGAGTGATAGAGGAGGGAAGCATCACACTACTGAATTTGGCTCACTTTGAAGTGAGGTAAAGCCAAGTTTGTCAAAAGCCTTAATACTTAAAGATCTCCCCAGGCTTGTTCACGAGTGTATAATGCTTGTCTTATTTTAAACGTACATTGGGCTGCATATTCAAAAGCTGTGAAGGCAATTTTCAACAATTTTGACTAGTTTTTGAAAGACACAGATCCTCTAGTAATAGGAAAGAAAGCTATTTTTAATAAGTTTTCCTAAGTAAAAAAAAAAAAAAAAAAGGACATTCCTAAAATTAGAAGGATCAGTAAAATCAGATCATTATAATTACTTACTATAGCATTATCATGCCATTTTTTAATTTCCCAAAGTTGGATACAATGAAAAACCAACTTGATATAACCTATAACAAGCAGTCTAAACACTTGAAAATGGTAAAATGAGATAATCACACATGCACATACAAAAAGACTAAGCCACCAAAAGCCCAAGTCTTTATTTCTCAACTCTTTTTGACAGTTCCAAAATCCAGGCACACATCCAGAAGAACTTTCTGCCCCACGTCTGGTCAGTAAAGAAATTGAGGTTAACCTTTAATTTTTAATGTCACCTGCAGCCAGTGACTGCTTTTTCTAATGCAAGTGACAGATAAACAGCAAAACACTCCCAAGATGATACACAAAGCACCACATACCATAAGTGCATTTTTATTTTTATACCAACTCAATTTCTCAAATGGATAACCAATGTTCCTACTAATTTACATTAAGAATTGAGCGAGGCATGAAAATTGTTCTGATGCATAGGCTCTATTTCTTTAATGTACTGCATAGTGTTCTGTATTTTACTGCAACACTGGAAAATCCTAACTACACTTAAAAGGTACAGAAACTACACATTCAAAAACACAAGCCCATATACGTCTTAAAAAATCACTTCAGAAAGAGTTTTAAATTATCTAGAGAGTAGGAAGGAAAAATAACTAATTAAAGTCACTGATGGAAGTCAGTAAAAGCAAAAAAATTGTTCCTATTAAAATGAGTTTTCTGACCTTTAATTACTTGAACTAGTATTTTTCTGTAAACCAATACTAGTACTTTAAATCTACATTGCTAGGATTTCAACTTTATAATTCCTTTAGACAATTCAATACTATCACCGTAACATTTGCAAGGTAATTCCAAACTAAACAGAGGGAATATGGCAAATTGAGGTAATATAGTCTAGCTATTTAAGGCCAAATTGGCAAGTCTTTAACAGTAAACACTGTATCATTACTAAACACTGCCATGTTGTTAATGTAAGGAGAGGTTTAAATTAGAGACTGAATTGCCCCTTCAGGTCGGGACTTAGGGCATATTATGGGAGAAAGTGAAGAAAAGCTCCCACTGACACTGTCTGTGTTTCACCAGTTCTGTGGGAAGCAGACTGCAATACAGTTATCCGTCACTTTTAAAACCAAATACTACAGTCAATGTTTTCACTTGTCTTTTAAAATTTAACGTAGTGAACTGGGGAGAAAAGGACCTGTGTTTGTAAAGTAAGATTTCTTTTGATACAGAAAAGGTACCGAAAATAATTTTTGGACAACTGCAGGAGACACATCACAAACATCATTTTTATAAAGGTTAAATGTGTAACTATGACATTAATGATAATGAGGCAAACTCAATTTGCTTTTTAAAAAAAATATAAAAACTTTAACTCACACAGCAGTGGGTGCTCAAACACAAAGGAGACAGTTGTCTTAAGAAGGATATTCTCTGCACATTCAACAGTTAAGCAGCGTTGGGATATGGCCCAGCCACCAGGAACAATGAGGAAGCTGGAGTAGCAGTCCCAGTCCCAGACTCCTCAAATTGACCTTCAGATAGAGAATAAAGACACTTGTTGAAAAAATGCTCAAAATATTTTAAAGTTTTGTTTTATCTCATAGGATTCCTAAGCCACTGGATTTCTTCTGGACATTTCAATAGGACAAAAACAAAACTGACTGAAACTAGGTTTAGTTTTCAAGTCAAATAAGTATTTCACACAGTCACCTATCAGGAGATATAGAAACAACATGGAAAATAAGCCCATGTGGTTCAATTTATTTATCTTTACAATGACAATAATGGTAGAGAGACAACTCTAACAACTTTAGCATTATGAAGACTTCAGAATTCAATCTGAAATTTTTATCAACATGCGATTCTTGGCTGTTTCTCAGCACTACTTCCAATTTCTCCTCCTATGACTGAACTTCTTAAGACCATGTATCTTACAAATTTCAGTAATTTGATATTGCTGGATCTATTTCTATAAAGTTGTTAATTCATTATTAACAAGACCCCAAAAAATTGTATAGGGTTCAACAGCATACTACACTGGTTATAAACAAACTAAAAATGTTGAAAGCTATGTTTCTAAGAGAAATTTAACAAATGAAATTTCAGCAAGTGAACAGCCATCTATCTTTTATTAACTCTATTTTAACTGTTCAAAAATGCACTTGGAAATCATGAAAAAAAAAAATTTAAAAGCCTCTCTTCGAAATGTGTTTGTGCAGAATTTTTCTACTATGAGACAATTAAACATAACAGTAGATAAATTGATATTTCAATATAATTTTTCCTATTATAAATATACAAAGTTAATAGTATGGAGTTGGAAACACCATTTTCTCTTTTTGAAAAGGTGGTACTTCACTGTTTCTACAGTGTTTCCATCAAAAAACATAAGAACACAACCATCTAGACACATTTCATTAAAAAAAAAGTCCTAAATTACACTGATTTTGCAGGTAAATACCCAAATAGCTCCTGAAATCTGACCACTATTGTCAGATTAGAGTGTAATCTGACAGTGTAATATTACACTGTTGTAATATTTAGAAATATACTGTGAAAAACATACTCATTGAAGAAGTAAATTTAGGGATTTCTTTTTTTTTAGAAATAAATTATAAATACAATTGTCTAATCTTGAGTATATTAAACAGTTCCAACCAAATAGTGGGGTTTTTTTGTAATTTGAATTAGCATCCTAGTTGCAACATGCTAGCACATAAATGTATTTTTATTCTAGAGCATACTTTGAGTTATTAAGCCTGGCATTAAATTTTGTAACAAGATGTAATATATCTAATTCAAGAGGGCTTACAGTGTTCCTGTATTACTTATTAATATGTTAAGTGAATGTTTGGACAATTGATTTCAACTAGGTTTTGTGAGTAAAACATCTGACAAAATACAATTTTCAAATTACATAGTCCATTTGTCATAACTACCATTCTTTCTAGTTTCTATAGGTGTTAACAAATTAAGCAAAAAAAAGCCACACTGACTAAATAAAGAACATTAGCCATTTCAGAATTTAAAAGAAACTATCACCATGGTTTATATAAAGCCATTAATGAAGTACCTTTGCTGTTCTGCTTTCTTATGTCCTTCCTTTGCTTTTTATACCCTCCTTCCTGCATTTCCCCCTGAAGTCTGTATGTGTGTATTTGCAGAGGACTTACTACAGTGAGACCACAGCCTTGTACTGAAGCAATAATGAATAGCAACTGTGTTGCTCAAGTATCACAACAAGCCAATACAGTCCCAGCTGTCACCAATACAGTCACCATTCAGTGTTTTGTTTGCTTAAGAAAATCAATATATTGAACATACTAATCCTGTAAATTCTTATGAAACAACAGAAACATTCCCAGCCAATGGCTTAAATGTTTACGCAGCAAAAAAAATACAAAATATTACTCTCTGTAAGTTCTAAAAACAGAATTGAAGATAATGTATTTCATACCAGTCCAGCACAACGATTTTTGTGTGATTCTTACAGTTGTGATAGTTGTTTTCAACAAGTCAGACTGTAGAACAGTCTCTGTGCCTGCACTGATGTTTTCTGAGTTACAAATAAGTCAAATAGAGTATGGAGAATGGGAAAAGCATGATCTCCGTTTGAGCCTTTGGACTAGCTGAAATCAAAATATAGACTTGCTGTGAACATGAAGAAAATTACATCAGAAAAGGGAAAAAATGAAGATATGAATAAGTTACTGGAATAATTTACGAAACAGAATAGAATATTATGTTAAGATTTGTATTAACATGACACAAGATATAAAGATTATTTTTCTTGAAAAGTAATAGACAGTAACTTGATTACATGAGCTAAAATATTAGTAAAAAGAAACAGGAAAGAACCTGCCTATGTTTTAACAAAAGTGATAGCATCCTCATGTAGACAGCTCACTTTGAAGGATCCATGCTAGACACTTCTGGAACCTACTTGGGGACTGCATAAATCAATACCATGGCAAATGCAGACCATCTGCCAGACTTCTTGAACATTATTTACAGAAAATAGTCTTCAATATATGAATAAAAATATTTCCTCACTTGTGCAAATGCTTCCATACCCACACGCAACAGAGGAAAGCAGGAGCTCAGTATCATGTGCTACTAGAAGGTTCTTAACAAGTAGAAAATTGCTCCCATGTTGAAAAAAGTATGTATCAGGAAGAATATGCAGGTAATTTGCCTTAAACCGCTAAATGGGAAGTTAAATTTTCAAGGTAACAAAACCAGTACAATAGTACATACTTTCCAAGGGAGTATTTATGTTTCCAATGGTCCACTGGTCATACAACTGCATGTTCTGCTTAGAAGACTGAGAACATGAAAAACATCCCAATGCTTTGCCACTTGTTCTCAGTAAGTCTTACTTCAAGATACTTTCTACAGACATTAAACTAAAGGGCAGGAGGAGGAAAAGGTAATAGGAACAAAGAAAAGATACTAGCTTATTTCACTTCACTTTATATAACTATATATTTAACTACTATAGCTAACCATTCTCTGTTCTTCCTCCCCAATATTGTTTCCATTTTTAAAAAAATTACATAACTAATACACGTAGCAAATCATATAAATTACTTTGATATTTCACTATTTTAGTAAATACACTTGATTATTTTCTCATCAAGATTTAATGGTGTTTCAAAGATCTATACTGAAGGATCTAAACCTGAATGTTTTTCACAGTCTTTCTGTTTAAGTAAGTAAACTTTAAATTGCAGTTTAATTTCAAATAGCCATGTACTGCTTTTTTGACATCTGTCCATCATAACACTGTACCAGAATTAAAAATATTAAAACAGACATCAAGATGTACTGAAAGTATTTTAAGAAGAATAATTCCTTTAGAAACAGAATATGTAGCATATTTGAAGTATGGAATTTGGTTACTTAAGATAATCTTACTTCTGCATTGCTTCTCAGATATACAGATACACAAAGAGCATTTTAAGATGCCAGAAGCTGAGTAAGATACTCACTTGTATAGGTCTATTAAATCTGTGAATGCAGGAACTGCTGCATTTCACAGTCTATTATTTATATGACAGAATGAAGATCTGAAAACATGAAATATAGCCTTAAATTATTCACTTATTCTTTTCACAAAAGGAGAAACCGTCAATCTAACACTAAAAGACTTCAAGCATATTTCTAAAGGTTTCATGAAAATTGCCTTATTTATCAAAACTTTATTCCCTCCGTTTGTTCATTAAATACTGTAGCTTTGCATTAAGGTCAAGCAGTGTCAACCAATTACTGTTGTTGGAAAAGTCCTACTTCCTTAATACTCAAAGAAAGCATGGTATATACTGAATTATTTTAATAGGCAAACTGAACACTGTTTACCCAAACTACATTTCAACCATAAAAACGTATTTTAAGGGTTTCTATCAACAATCAATTATAGTACTATTTATTATGACAGTAGCATTAAGCATGACTCTCTGTCTGCTCAAATGCCAGCCTTAAAAAATATACATCTATTTTAGCATATTCAGCAATATTCTGTTCTTAGCTCGTAATAAAGGAAAGTAACAAAAATTAAGTGACCTATAAAGCAAACTGAAAGGCAAAACATAAAACATTGAATTTTAAAGAGACAGTATCAACTGGTATAAACATACTGGCTTCTGTCCTCATTCTCTGCTGGTGGGTAAGAGGGCTCATAGGACAGACCAGAAAAAAAAATCCACCCTGCTTTCACTGCTCCTAATTTTGTAGTTTTGTTTTTTGTTCTTCTTTGTTGCAAGAAGAGGAGTAATTTCAGTGGTTACATACAAATTTATTATACGTCAAGAAAAGGCCACCCATAGGCCATCATACCCAATACCAAAGTCACAGTCATTCAGGATAATAGGATTTCCTTAACGCATTTTGATATAACAACCCAGGAGAGTCTCCCTTGTCCTACTTCAATCTTCTACCTGACCCATTTTAGTGGCCTGCAGTTCAAAAGGCTAGAATGATGATTTTAGTATCTAATCACCTCTATCTTTACATTTCATAGAAGCAAAATTTTGGATCTTATTTCCCTTTGGAATTGAGCTGTTTATTGCCATTCCTCCTAATACATAAGAAGTGATAAAAGAATACTTAATTTTCTGATGGTAACCTTTGAAATGTTACTGCTATGTGCCTAACTGTGCCTTTCTGAAGTTACAAAACATGAAAAAGGAAAGAAACTTTTTTCTCCACATCCTGTCACATTGTCTCACCAGAAAAAAGTTCTCACCCATGTACTGTATCAGTGATCAATGAGACCTACAGTGATACAAGACACATATACTGTTGCTACAAACAAGAAGGGAAAACAGAGCAACAAAAAGAATGAAAAAAAAAACAACAAACCAACAAACCTGAAAAGAGTTATGTTGAAAATTATGGAGCAGGAGAGACATAACAGAGTAGGGTCTGTTGCCTCATTATTTCTAAGAGATCAAAATAAAGAAAAACAAAAGAAGTAGAAATGAAAAAAAAAACCATCACAAACCCCAAACTTAGACAAGTCCTCTCCAGCCTC